CTTTATCTCTGAAAGGCATAATTTTTATTTAAAAAAAAATTAAAAACATATTTTAAGTCTGTGATTCACTCGCACTTCCTAATCTAATTTCACGAGAGAAAAAAGCCGAGAGATCTTAAATCAAAAATCATCACGTCTTTACTTGCCGTCGTTAACAAAAAGCAATGTCCGGCGCTGAACTTTATTGTATGGTGTATTATATCAAATGATTTGCTAAAAAACGAAATAAAATATATGTTAATTGACACTATACCTTAGCTAATGTACACCTTACTCTGAATTTCTAACTGTCGGCCATTATCCAACAGAAAAAACTTTTCTGTAAGGTAACAAATTACCCATAATCCCTGTATTTCTATTCATGCTTTAATGTGTAATATAACGCTTTTAAGCAAAAATAACCAGGATGTATATATATATATATATATATATATATATATATATATATATATATATATATATATATATATATATATATATAGATGGATTGCTTGTGAAAACTATTTGTTGAAGCGTGATCCAGTAATTATCTTATTCGTATTCAGCAAGTATGTAAGCATATACAAAAGAAGAAGAATGCATTGGCGTAGAGGTTTTCGCTTCGTGAATAAGTATATACAATGTCGTCTGGGTCGGATTAAAGGCGTTGAATACGCACGAGGAAAACAGAAACGCGATTGTAAGGAGAGGTCCACCTCACAAGCGTGGGTAGGAGAGTGGGCTATGGTTTATAAAACCAGTGGAGGTCGGTTTATGTACGAGGGAAGCTGCAATTATACCATTCCATTTCTCGGCTGCAAGAGAAGGGTCAAACGCACATACACAAATCGACGCATGCACACACACACACACACACACACACACACACACACACACAAAACACACACACAAACACTTCTATCTATATACACACTGACTCATATCTATCTATCTCTTTTTCTCTCTCTCTCTCTCTCTCTCTATATATATATATATATATATATATATATATATATATATATATTAAAACCACATTCAAAACTATTATGGATGTGATTGCAAAAAAAATATTTTAACAATGATAAGAAGCAAATATATATATATATATATATATATATATTACAACCGCATTCAAAACTATTATGGATATGATTAGAAGCAAAAAATATTTAGAACAATAATATGAATATATATATATATATATATTACAACCGCATTCAAAACTATTATGGATGTGATTAGATTAGAAGCAAAAATATTTATAACAATGATAATTCTGAAGCAGGTATATATATATATATATATATATATATATATATATATATATTACAACCGCATTCAAAACTATTATGGATATGATTAGAAGCAAAAATATTTAGAACAATGATAATTCTGAAGCAGGTGTATATATATATACACATATATTACAACCACATTCAAAACTATTATGGATGTGATTAGATTAGAAGCAAAAATATTTATAACAATGATAATTCTGAAGCAGGTATATATATATATATATATATATATATATATATATATATATATATATATTGATAATTTGTTTTCTTCTGTTATGTTTTTTGTACAGCTGTAACTGATCTTTACGTTATTTTTGTTAAATATTTTTGATAATTTGTTTTCTTCAGTGAAGTGTTTTTCTATTAAGTTTAGGAATATTTTGCCTATGTTCGTTTTAACAGTTTTGTTATATGGTGGATTAAACCAGATAATGTTTCTCTTTCTGTTTCTACGTTTTGGCTGTGGAGGTATATATTAGTTGTTGTTTGTGTAGCCACTTGCTTTTAGTGCTTCGTTGTTGCTATAATATATATATATATATATATATATATATATATATATATATATATATATATATATATATATATATATATAACTACAGGTTTGGGTATAACGAAAGCATCTCGATAATTGACTACTTCTTTTAAATAATATTCAGCAAATACAAGACCCAAGATAGAGGATTCCGTATGACGTTGTATGAGCGTAGTGTTTAGTAAGTGCAGTTTATGTGGTTATGTAGGAAATATAATGGTTAACTCTAGATATTCAAGAGGTTAACATTGTAATGATTGGGAAAAAACATCTTGTCGGAAATCTGTTCCATGATGTAGCATGACCTCTGAACGGGAAATTGGAGGGTTTGGGAAACCACCTCTTAATTGCTGTTGTTCCGATGTCCACCGTCGTCCGGAGTGGTAGCTCCTCTTAGGATCAAAATTATGACCCCCCCCCACTCAAACAAAAACAAAACATTATGAATGCATAAAAATACATTTTTTTTATAGTAAAATTAGCAACAACACATTTTATCTGTAGTTGAAGTCATGCAATTATGTTCAAAATATTTGGATTTCGGTATTAAATGACCCATTAATTTGCCGGTAAACAAAATCAACCAAACAACGTATATGAAAGAACTCTTTCATAACATTAATTAATTGTTATGAATAATCAAGAGTGGTCTCCCCTTGTTTTGTTACTCTCCTCTTTGAGAGAGCTATTTCTGTTTACTGGGACTATAAAAGGACACTACGCGCGAATAATGTATTCTCAGTTGATTAAAGTTTTTTTTAAAGCGTACACCTGCATACTTTACATTACATCACAATAATATCCTACAATTTCTTAAAGAAATCAAACTGTATTCCAAAATGTAACCTCAACAAAATATACATATCACCGCCTTTAGCAGTTACGTGCGCACAAGAGATTGAAAAGGAGATTTTATTTTAATTATCTGTGAGTCATAGCAAAACCTAAACTGTATTTCAATGACCACAAATTAAACTATTTTCTAACTCTTAATGGAACTTGAGTAACGAGTTGTTGAAGATTAATATGTAGAATAGTACGTTACATGACCCCAGACCAATTATTTTGTTTGAATGAAGAAATTCTCAGCATCTAATACATATATATATATATATATATATATATAGAGAGAGAGAGAGAGAGAGAGAGAAAGAGAGTAAGAGAGGAGAGGGTGGGTTTATATACACAAAGAAGCGTCAGTCAATAAGTCCCTAGTCCGAGTTTTAACCAGAAATATTGATTATTGGATATTCCATATCTGTGATTAATATGTCATGACAAGAAAGGAAATTATGTTGAAAATTATATATGCCAAATAAAGGTTTTTACCATTAGCCTGCCGTTATGCATGCTGATTTTCTAAGCATAGCTTAGATGTGGCACAAGTCCGAATGTATCGAACACCCAGTGATCGAACCCACTATTCAGGCGTAACTGATCTAACGAGACAAGCTTGCTGAGCATTACACCACGTCGAGGCGTCCAACTCCCGATACGCATGTGATGGCTGTCTTGATTCCTGTCAAAGTCATCGCTTGATCTCGACTCAGATATGGTCAGTGCAGAGGTGGCTATTTTATCCTGCAACGAGATTATATTTTCTTGTGCAGATGTTGTAATTTTTTCAGTAGTTGTTACATAAATGCTGCATGACATACAATGAATGATTTCTCTCGGTATTTGGCGTCTTTAATGAATTTTGAGAGACCTGTCCTACATAGTCAGACACGACCACATTCATTCCATCAAACATTTTCAGAGCAATTTATATCAAGACCCTTACGATTATCTCCCTTGAGTTTTTTTTCCAGCGCAACTCAATTCTGCTCAAAGTCACTCTTACCAGTGTGTACTGCTTTCATCCAAGCTAAACAATCTTATTCATTCACCAACATCCATAGAAACATGATAAAAGGAAGTAGACATTATTTTCAAGGTGTGCCTTTCTACGATATACTGAATTGATTATTTTCACTCTGTTACTTCTGTGTTTTCTGTTGCAAGTAGATTTGTAGAGGTGGAGTTGATGGCCCCAAGCCCGACTGATTTTGAATTCAGAGTTTTATGGACTGTTTACCAAACAAGGCTAGGAAGATCTGTTTGCCGTACCATTTACCCCTAGCTGGACGGGACGGGAGAGTAAAACAAAATGTATGTTTTAAGGGGTTGTTATACGAAAGCAAAAACAACAGCCGTGGCTTGAATTTGATTTGGGATGTCAACGAACACCTTTTGCCACTTTTGTGATGCCAACGAATACTCGTTGTCAGTTTCGTAATACTCCGTGTAGTAGAGACTTCGTAATCGCAGATACAACTATAGTAACGCCGTTGAACAATACTGGTGTCAGACGCCTACTAATAACAATAGCACTAATAGTACTTGCTCGATAGTACTCGCTCGAACAGTAACCACCGAACAGTGATCCGAATAGAGAAATAGTATAGTGAATAGAGTAGAGGTGATTTTCTAAGCGTAGCTTAGATGTGACAAGGTCGAAAGTATCCGGTGAGGATCGAACTCACTATTCAGTCGTAACTGTTTTAGTGAGACAAGCTTCCCAACCATTGCACCACACCGAGATGCCCCAATGAATAGAGAATAGCGGCTTGTATAGTAATAGAGGATAGAGTAAAAATAGTGATCAATTAGACGCCAAACTAATTCCTAATTATGCGTTTCCTCTACGGTCATATAGTCTACTTAATTCAAAATGGGATCGCCTGTGTTTGCTCACTGGCGATCTATGTTCAAACTAAAGTGTCGGCAGCCACACTTTATTCCTATATAACAATTTGACATCGACAGGCCGGTCTCATTCACCGCAGAGATAACGGCTACGCGTCGCGCACATACCACCCTACATGCACCAGCCTATAGTGTAAAAGTTGACGTAATGATTATTCTGGTTATTTTTCCTTCCCGTTGATCGAAAGTTATCAGCAACGGTTCATTAGAATGCATGCCAGAAAACGGACTTCAATATGAAAGTGGTTTAACGTGTTTTAGACTTTCCTTTCTCCAATGTACATTTAACCCATCACGAAACGATTTTTTGTAAATATCTGAAGTCTTTTAAACATAATGTATGTACAGCTTTCAGAATTTATATTCTTTATGCGTCTGAGAAAATTCAGGAAACTCCTGATTGAAACTGGTCCCTTTCTAATAACCCACTATAGTGCATGTTTAATAATAATAGGCAGCATCTATCTATCTATCTATCTATCTATCTATCTATCTATCTATCTATCTATCTATATATCTATCTATCTATCTATATATATATATATATATATATATATATATATTCTTGTCTCTACTCTTCATTTTTAACTATCAAAGATAAATATAGAGATCTTACATCTGGAGTGGCAGACAGTTTTTGGTCGTAGTAATTTTCTAATGTTCTAGAGTTTGGTGTATTCCGTTTTTACTTTTTTTTTTATTAACGCTTAAATGGCAAGTTAATTATTTGTATATGTTTTCATTTACCCATTATTCATTTTCTTATTTGTTTTGGGGGTATCTTAAGTATGAGTGTATTAATTATAGGAGGTTATGTTTATAATTTCATTTTATTTATTGTTTGAATATGTATGAATATACTTACATTTATGCAGTCACACACACACAGAAACACACATATATTCACACACAAGCGCAGGCACACAAGCGCAGGCACACAAACACATGCACACGTGTATCTGTGCATGTTATATAGTAATTAATGCTTAAATGGTAACGTAGTTGGTTTTATGTCTGCACGTATCCATTGTTTTCTTTTACTTTTTTAATAGTTATTTTTTTAATCTGCCTTGGATGGTAGTTTGAATGTTAGGGTACTAATTATCGGTGGTTAGGTTTATAGATTTATTTTCTTTGTTGTTTTAATATATGTAATTAAGGTATATAATATAGACACATACACACACGCACGCAGCCACACATATGCGCATACACACACGCACATACATACATATATATATATATATATATATATATATATATATATATATATATGGGTAAATATCAGAACAGACTGGGTTCTACAGCTTTGGATAGCAACTGGTCTAGAAGCAGAACAACTCTGAATTCAAAACCTGCGGAGGGTCGATTGGGGACATTGTGGTACGTAGTGCACCGAGTCTCTGTATTCGGCCCGTCAAAAACTGTGGTTGGTTCTTCACAAAGCCTTAACCACTATAATCAAATCATATGTGCGGGTGTCTGACTGTTGGTTCTTAGGAACTGAGCTGTTTGACCCTCATACTTCGAATACGACGGGAGAGTCCACCATATATATACATGTATACACACACACACACACACACACATATATATATATATATATATATATATATATATATATATATATATATATATAGGCTGGTGTTTAGGGAGTCAAGAAGTAAAAAAGGTGCAGAATACTTTGTGAAATGGAATCTGTAAAACAAAAGTATCCTAGGCAACCTCCTCTCGCTAAAGCAAGTATTTTAAAGTGTCAAAACTGAGCCAAGAAACGCATGAAAATTGACTTTTCTAAAGTTATTTTCAAGGACGAATCTTGTGTGACATTTTATGGAACTGATGGATGGGCCAAATGATGGATTTTATCCAATTCAGATGTGCCTGTTGCTAAAAAAAAGTCAAGAAGGAAGTAGTAATGGCATGATATGGCCTAGAATGTTTGATCAAACCATTATTGCAGCTTACCCGGGAATTCACTGGACATAAAAGATATTGGAGTTTTTGATCTGAATCCGATCGAAAACCTATGGTCAATTGCGAAGTTAAAATTATATGAAGGTGGCAAACAATATAACAGCAAAGCGGACTTATAGGAAGCAATTAAAACTAAACTGAACCTGCTAAAATAAAAACATGAACAAAATCAATAGATCATAGATTTCTGTTTTTGAGAAGAAGGGTCACTATATTAAAATGTAAAGGATTCAATATGTATCTGTTATTTGTTCTGTTATAAGTGGTGATCAATTTTGTTGAGTTTTTTACCTTTTTATTCAATCAAGATCTGATTATTTGTTTTGTTTCTTTTTGTTTTGTTTTTTTTTTGTTTTGTTTTTTGTTTTTTTTGAATACGTCAAATAATTTCAACTCCAATAAAACATTTTGATACTACCTAAAATTTTAACTCAGGCTTTGTTTTGACATCTAAATTGGCCGTTTAAAATTTGACAATTTTTTCAAACCAAATTATTGAAGTTTATATGATTGGCTTAATCACTTCAGACAGGAGGTAATTAAAAAAAATAAATATAATAAAAACTTAATAAAGAAACAAACAAATAAAAAATAAGCACATCTATACGCGTATGTGTATGTGCATGTACATATAAATATATACATAGACTCACACGCATACACAAACAGCTACAAACGAACAAACCTTACCTTCCATAATAATACCTCAATATATAACACCAAAGCAAAAACAAATAAACTACTAGCCATTAAATTAAATATTTGCTTCAATGATATAATATAAACAAATATTTAATTTACTACATATACACTATTTTAAAATACATATATGAGCGTGCATATGTGCCGGTTCATGCCTGTGTGTGGGGGAGTATATATTGTATACTCTATATATGTAAACAGTAAAGAAAATACCCCAGAAACCTAACCAACCAACCATAATTAATACCTTAAAAATATGGAAAAAAACCTACTACTTAATCATTAGTTCATATATTAATAAATTAGCACAGACATAGGTGTGCGTGTGTTTGTATACGCGCGTTTGTATACATATATGTGTGTGCATAAATCTATATGCGTATATGCACGTATGCGTGTGCGTAGACGTGTGAATACAGGCATATACATACAAATTCAATCAAGAATAAATTAAAATTTTAATTATAAAGCTAACGTCCTACAATTAAGACTCTAATCAGATGGGGAAACGAAATAATGGTCAAGTAAAGACATATATAAATATTTACTTCAGTATTTAAATATTAGAATTAATTATTTATGTCAAAAATGAAATAGAATTTTCCTAACTCAGGAAAAGACAAGATCGCTCACAAATTGAAAACGGCAGCCTCGAAAAAGCGAAATCGAACATTGAAATCCGAAATCGAAATGGCAACAATTGAAAGAAAACTGAGAAAATGGGCGGAAAGGACAAATAATCAAGACATCCTATATGTAAGCACATCCAAGCTTAAGCTCTCATAGGCACATTGGCGCGAATGGACCTCATAGACTATGAAACAAAAAACATTGCGCCAATGATAAGTGCATATAAAAAAGAAAAATCGTGAAGTATAAACAGTCAATTGCTGATATCCCCTGACGAGTGGACAGACTGCTCCGTCTACGAAATTCTGCAGTCCGGATGTTGAAGATAGCATCAATCAGTTAGTGACAAACCTTTTATTTGTATTTAATTCTCTCTCTCTTTATATATATATATATATATATATATATATATATATATATGTGTGTGTGTGTGTGTGTATTATTTTATTTTTATATATATATATATATATATATATATATATGTGTGTGTGTGTATTGTCTTTATATATATATATATATATATATATATATATAGAGAGAGAGAGAGGGACAATACATACATATATATATATATATATATATATATATATATATATATATATATATATGCATGTTTCATTAAAACGACAGACAAGGTACTACGGTTGAGCTTTTTATTTAATTTTTCTTGTGTTCTGACAAGAACTTTTCTTTTCTGGACAAAGGGTGTGTAAGAACTGTCCGAATGTTTTATATTTCCGAGCGCTTTCGGCTATACCTTTAGCCATTATCAAGGATGATTCGATTATCAGCTTAGTAGAGTGTGTGTGTTCTGTGTATGTTCAGTGTGTGGTAGTGATGTTTTAATTTCCGAATATATATATATATATATATATATATATATATATATATATATATATATCTGTGTGTGTGTGTGTGTATACGTACATTTTTTTACAATTCTCCAGACAAAATTTAAAGCATTCAAAACTGAAAAGTATTTTAATAATAAAAACGGATCCAACCTCCTGTCTCCATAATCGTATCTCTGGTGGAGAATACAAACAAATGTCATTTAGACACAGTCAAACTTCTTTATTACTTTAACGATTGATAAAAAACGAATCTGGGTGAGACAAAAGACACTTTGTTAAAATAACTGAAGCACACTGAAGCCGAATAAACCGTAAAACTATTGAAGCAATGTGGTTTACTTTTACTGGCGAATGAAAGCACACTCTTTCATTCGCCTGGATCCAACAATTATCGAAGGGGAAGATTGCAAACAGGGGTTTAGCTTGAAAGAACTGACAGTTAGCAATGGCAGCCGCACGAAGAAGCAGTTTGAAGTCACAGGTGGCTGATCAAGCGTCGTACACTTTTAAATTAGAAACAGATGTTTTGTCTTTTAGCAAATAACACTTTTACTTTACTCTACGAAGATCTCATCTCTTTTTCTTTCATCTCTTTTTCTTTCTGTTTGTCCGTCTCTCTCTCTCTCTCTCTCTCTCTCTCTCTCTCCCCCTCTCTCTCTCTCTCTCACTCTCTCTCTCTCTTTCTCTCTCTCTTTCTCTCTCACTCTCTCTCTTTTCTCTTTCTCTCTTTCTCTCCTCTCTCTCTCCCTCTCTCCCCTCTCTCTCTTTCTCTCTCTCTTCCTCTCTCACTCTCTCTCTCCTCTCTCTCTTTCTCTCTCTCATCCCTCTCTCTCCCTCTCTCTCCCTCTCTCTCTCCCTTTCTCTCTCTCTTTCTCCCTCCCTCTCCCTCTCACTCTCTCTTTCTCTCTCCTCTCTCTTTCTCTCTCTCTCTCTTTCTCTCTCACTCTCTCGCTCTTTCTCTCTCCCTCTCTCTCTCACTCTCTCTCTCACTCTCTCTCTTTCTCTTTCTCTTTCTCTCACTCTCCCTTCCCTCTCGCTCTCCCTCCCTCCCTCTCTCTCTCTCTCTCTCTGATGTCTCCCTTGACTCGGGATATTATTTGCAGGTGCGATGTTTAGTTCTGCTGCCAGAAAACAAAGATGTTTATTCTTTCCCCTCAGTTACGTAAGTGAGGGCCTCATGTGTCCTGTCGTCAAACAATATTTAACTTACAATATATACCAATTTATTGATCTGCATCCACATTTAATGCACGCACGTCGTGCCTGATCTTGGACCTTGAATTGTCAGAATTTCTTATGTCGAAATAATATTTTCATGTATTTTCTACCGTATCTACTCGTGTTAACGCACAAATTTTTATTTATAAAAAATGGTTTCATCATGTATCTCGTGTATCATACGAGTTCCTTTTTGGAGCGACCAAACTGCAATAGACTAACCTCTTTTCCTCTATCTCTTTATCCCATTTTTAAACCTAGTTAAAAAAAATTAAACGAGAATGATAAAAGTATCGTTAGTAATACTATACTCGTTGCGTAAACGCGTACAGTCAGAAACGAGAAACAGAATCTTTTAAACGTTAACAATGGTAAAGACGCATGTGCGATATGTTTGTATTTTATAATACAATACTAAAATTATTACATGCATTATTATTGGATACAATTAAGAAAAGCATCAATTTTATCAAAATCATGTTTATTTTAAATAAAGCTGTTCTTTTTTACTACATGAAATGGCTATATAGTTTGGTCAACGGCGTAGACAAGGCCAGCATAACATACGCTAATTTTAAATCACGTCTATGATGCTACCCTCTTAAAATTAGCTTCAAAATTAGGCCTTCAAAAATCGCATGATACGCGAGTATATATGGTAAGTGAAGTAGATTGTACAGATAGTGTAATGATATTGTTTTGCAGGTTAAAGTTAACACAAGAGCTGGATTACGACTATATCACGTCGAAATACCGGTTCCTGTACGGTCACCGAAGTTAAGGAGTGTCAAGCCTGGTCAGTACCTAGATTAGTGACCGCTTGGGAAAATCAGGTGCCGTAAACCTAGATGTATGGGTGGTGCACTTTATAATGGCTCAGAATTGGAACTCAGAAAGACAGATTCCAATTCTAGTCGGGTTCACTATATTCACTCACGCGCAAATAATCTTGGGAAATGCATGAATCTACATCTTCTCCCCCACCCCAGCTCTGGTTAGTAGAACTTGTATCAGTAAAATCATTATTATCCCAACTAAAATAATTCTTAAAATGTAAAAATATTTTCTGGCTTTAAATAACCTGCAAATGGTTGATAAAAACAGATCAATAAATTTATCAGAGTGGAGGCTACCATTATGAATGTTCTCGTTATTTGATACAGTTCTTTGTGATCCTGTAGCGCCAGTCTCCACTATCCGAAAGAGAGTGTCATTCACCAAGTTTCACGGGCTTCACTCGCTCAAAGCCATTGTTAACCATTGATTTTAGAAAGTGGTTGTATACAGCTGACAGTTTAGATATTTTTGAACGGATCTGGTGCCATGTATGACATCCGTGTGAAAGATTCGATCTGACGAGGGTACTTAAGAAGATCAAACGAGTTTTCATGTTAATGTTCTAGTTTGTTGCTATTGTTTTAAGCGAAACTATTACTAGCACAGACTAAACACTTAAAACCCAAATTCTTTAAACCCTCCAATAACTAGCCTGCTGTCGGAACGAACCTAATATCCCTAAAAAAAATGAAATAGCTCAAGATTTTTCCGTTTAAAATTTTCATTCATCAGCGCATGAAGCTCGAGTAGATCAACTAAACAAAGTCGAACGCATAATGGAATTTACATACAAAATGGAAGAACACTTTACCCTTCCTAGTTAGGAAACAACACCGAGTTAAGAGCAGTTTAAAACTCAGTGTCCACTGGAAGTCGGTTAATATAAATGACTTTATAAATTTCTATTCCCATCGTAACAAGAAAATAGAATCTGGTTCCATCTAAGAGCTCTAAGAATATGCAGATTGGATTATTTACACGGAGAGGAGAAATTAGTTGTAAGCACTTTCAAACATCTCCAGTACTCTAATTGTTTTATATTCAAGGCGAAAGAAAATGCCCGTAAAATATTTAAAAAAAAAAACTCCCCCACCCCTGTGAAACTGAAATGAATCAAAAAATATTATCACATCTCCAATCGAAAATAATCTATCTAAAATCAACATAAAAGTTGTTACTACTACTTCCAAAACAATAAAAGGTTTAGTCATTACTAAACAAAACAATAAGGTAAAACGTGAAAGAGGAGATTACTCTATCGCATTTATTTGCCTTAACTGTTTGGCCATTAGTAAGATAATCAGGCACGAAAATATTTTTATTCCCAAACCAAATCTTCATTACCATTCTTACTGATTTTTCAGCCTTGAATATATATCAATCACAAAGAACACAGGCGTCATTACTGTGCAGCTTGTAGCTTAGTGTCCAGATGGCTGACATAACCACGTTTCATCAAGTCATTTTAAAATCCAAACACCCGAAGTTGCTGAAAATGTAAAAATAATCAAGTTGAATGTGTTTACTTAATATCGCTTTTTATGTTCATGTAATGTTTTATTTAGATTTCTTTGAAGATTCCCCTACTTACTTTTGTGACAGTTATTACAGACAATGGAGTAAACTCCTCTTTTAGGTTTTACCTTTTGTTTGGGAACTATGATACGTGTGAAGGAAAAACTTATATATATATATATATATATATATATATATATATATAACGTATAAACAGAAAATCTTTTAAAATAATTGATGGACTTGTTGGCTCTCTAGGTTTAACCATATATATATATATATATATATATATATATATATATATATATATATATATATATATATATATATGATGGACACTTCCGTCGGTTTCAACGTATGAAGTTCCGACAACTTTGTTTATTTAACCTTGTGTGTGAGTCGCAAGTGACATTTCAGTCCTGCTAGTGATTTGCAAAGAAGTCCACAGATTGTGCAAGAGTGTGGATTCTTGGAGTATATGGCTGGAACAGCAGCAGATATTTTATACCTTTCCCTAGTTTGACGAAGCATGACAATGTTTGATACTGCTTTGTTCTTGATGCCATTGTAGCATGTAGTCTTCCATTCATTACGATCAATTACGATGTTCTCAAAGATAGTGTGATTTATATTCGCAGCTAAGAGGTTACTTTTCAGCTTGTCCCTGTACCTAAGCAAAGGCCGACCCACGTATATATATATATATATATATATATATATATATATATATATATATATATATATATGTATGTACAGTGGGTAGCAAAAGTATTTTTTAACACATTGGTTTTTCTTACATATCTCAAAAAATAACAGATCAAACGAAAGAGGGGAATTATTTATTCAATTCAATTGTATTGAGCACTTTATTTAGTTGTTTTGCTTACTCGTATCGTTTTTTTTTTTCTTTGGGCTTTGGACTTGGATGCTAGACGATTATTTTCGGCTAACGTACATGTTCTTGGTTCTTTCTTTTTTTTATAGCTTTTTTCCGCTTTGGTATTGGCTTGTTTATTTGCAAATCAAGACACCGAAGGTTTTTCAAGCAGTATAGTTTCTATTTAATATATATATATATATATATATATATATATATATATATATATATATATATATAAAAGACCAAGTCCAACAATTATTTAGAAATATTTTCTGTTTATACGTTTTTTTTAGAGACACAAATATTTAAGTAAATGCTCTGTTTATAATAAACAGTATTAATTGCATTTACCAATTTGAATGTCTGAGAAATTTTGTAGAAAATATATGTCCTCAGATAGGAAACAATTTCCATGAATTTTCTCTTTTCGAAGTGTACGTTAACGTAAACAAATGGCAACATATATTATGTTGTCAGACAATTATTTTAATATATTTTCTGTTTATACTTTATAAATATACACATATTATAAAGAGAGCATTTACTTAAATATTTGTATCTATAAAAATAATGTATTTAACAATATAATGATTGCACAGTCTGACAAAAAAGGTGTCTGCGTGTTTTTAAATTTGTTTCTTATTACTATAAAGAAATTATTTTTAGTGGTACACATGTATGATTTGATGTGTTTTTGCTTTATACTTTTCTCAAACGGTGTAATTAATAACCAGTATCCTAACAAAATATTGTTCCTCTAAACAGGAATAGAACCTAAATCTATTTTTACATCAGCGAAATGGCACCTATAGCCGAAAGGAGCCATCATCAATTTGGCAAGGGGAGACCATGTTCAGAGAGCAAAATTCAGTTGAGCTATGTAATAAACGCTCGTCTACCTTTGTAACGCCGACAGTTTCTCTGACGGAAAAAATGGATAGAGGTTTGTTTTCGAAGAAATTGAAATGATTTTCTGTATATCTACTAGGCATGCAGTTTAAATGTGGATGGATGCAAATAAAAATTTTGTCTTGTTTTTATAATTTAAAGATCTTGGGATTTGAGAAATTTTGGATGCGTAATGACAAATTTTGCATGTGTTTGGATGCAATTCTTATTTGCAAATTATATATATATATATATATATATATATATATATATATATATATATATATATATATATATATATATTATTTAGAAAAATATGACAAACGGGACATTTTATTTGTAACGTGTTTCATCCGTTAGATTTAATCGGATCGTGCTCTGTTGACATTGCCATATCTGCACATGCGCACGAAACGAGTGACACAGATATGTTATATATATATATATATATATATATATATATATATATATATATATATATATATATATTATATGATATATATATAAATTTTACACAGATAATCAAGAAATCTTAACTAAACTATATCTTAATTAAGAATAAACTTTTATTAACCGAATTCGAACCATAGATTTTCAATTGGATTTAGATCGGGACATTGACTAGAGAATTCCAAGACTTGAAATTTTATTTTCTCAACCCATTCTCTTGTGGATTTGCTTTGCTGCTTCAGATGATTATCCTGTTCGAAGATCCATCCCCAACCTAAGTCCAACTTTCAAAACGAGGGCAAGACACTTTTGTTCAAAATTGCTTGATCTCTTGCAGACTCCATTTTGCCGTCAGCTGCAAGCAACGCATCCCAAAGACATGATGCTTTTTACTAGCTGCTGTTTAACTGTTAACAGCAAATTCTTTTCTTCAAAAGCTGTGTTAGAAGCTCACAAGACATACCACGTATCCTAGATACCAAAAAGCTCTAGTTTGGTCTCATCCAACCGTAAAACCTTTTGCCAGAACCTTTCTAACTTATTAATAATAGCTTTCATATGAGTTGAGCTGAGTTTGTGTTTATTTTTACTAAGCAGTGGCTTCTTCTTGGCATTATGTCATGAAGAACGGCATCGTTCAGATTTCGTCGCACTGTAGACGTATGCACACTGATTCCAAATTGACCAGGAAGGCTTGGAAAAGATCAAAGCAGGATTTGACTGCACTTGTGGAAATAGGTGGCTACTTAGGTATGCAGTTAATTTTTCGCGGACAGCCACGACATGATTGCGATGATCTCATATGAAAGGTTTAAATAAATAATTTGTCGCACAGTGGAGATGTGCATTCCAAGTCATTTTGATAGCATTTTATAGCCTTTTCCATCATTATAGTCTTCAACTAGGCGATTCTTTTAAACTTTAGGAAATTCTTTTGTTCTTGGAACAATATTTTTTAAACTTTAACTGCAAACTTTTGCATACACAATGAGTTATATTCTATCCTCATCTGCCACATTTATCACAACGTTTCGGCCGTTGTATGCTCCGGCCTTTTTCAGGTGGTTGGAGTGTCGAACTGAACCCTTCACTTCGCACGCTGAGGTAGACTATTCTAGTTCCACGTGCCATGTCTAATGGATATCAGTTATCAGTTATCTCCTGTTAATTTCCCTCTCCAAGTTCTCCCCTCGTGTTACAGCTTTTTGGTGTTAAGCCTTACCTTAAGAGGGGGGACAACAACACTCAGAAAATAGTCTGTCTGCTTTATGTGAAGGGGTTATCGGAGAAAATTCAAAGGATCTGCGGTCCATATAACATCAGAACAACCTTCAAAAGCTGGAAGACGCTTCGCAGATATCTCTCCCGAGTAACCCCCCACCGCCCCCAGCGAGCGAAATAAAGGGTTCATTTCAACCACCTGAAGAAGGCCTGAGCGTACAACTGCCGAAACGTTGTGATAAATGTGGCAACAAAGAGGAGGAGGGTAGTCTGAACAATGTAAATAGTGTACATAATACCTCATCTCAGAAATATAGATAGATGCTTGGCTGTAATATACAGAGCTTACAAAACAAATGAGCACATGTCATTTTGATTTTTACACGTGTACAAAAATTATTTGCACTGGCAACCGTGTAAGGAGAAAAACACAGGAAGTAAATGTAAATGTTCACTGATTTTGAACATCTTAATTTGAATTAATATTTTTATTTCAGTTTAATAAAAAAATGAAAGTTATTGGAATTCGCTTAATAACGGGTTTTCGTAATTTTTTCATTATCTGCTAAAAAGAGACAATTTTTTTTTCTTAATATTAACTTAGGGGTTCACTTACTTTTGTGCAGCACTGTATATATATATATATATATATATATATATATATATATATATATATATATATATATATATATAGAGGAATCTAAATGAAATAATAATAAAAAAAAACGAAAGAATATTAATCTACAAACCCAGTTTAATTTTTTTATATTTTTTATTGTTCAAAAGATATATATATATCAAGTATGTGGTGCAGTTCAACTTACATTCATCAATTATTCATACAAAAACAGATATTAACTTCAATATCTGTTTTTTTTTTAAATATATATTTATATATATATATATATATATATATATATATATATATATATATATATATATATATATATATATATATATATAATCTAATATAAAATATATATAATATATATATGATGTAATATATAATATATATATATATATATATATATATATATATATATATATATATATATATATATATATATATATATATATATATATACGGTGTTGCAGCAAAATCCGACACTTGACAAAAAAGAAAACGAAATAGGCAATAAAAACACAAAAAAAATAAGTTGGTATATGCAGACACCAGACAGTTTGACAACTAACTAACGTTTTTCTCTCCACCCTTATCCAGGATAGAATATGAGCGCAGAGCAACGGTAGTAGCTTCTTTTCGCGTCGGGAAGAAGCCTGCGGAATTGATTGCCTGGTTTGGGTTCAAGACGACCATGGTCATGGACATTTGGCGGAAGTGGAACGCGTGTGAGAACAAGGACGAGTTTACTGCCAAAGGAAAGGCCCACAACGTTCGTTCTTTGGCCGTTAGGACCGACGAGTTCGTCGCCGTGGTCAAGCAGACAGTCGACAATGATGGAAGCCAGAGCTACGCCATGATTGCCGCTGATATGGGCTGTCACAAGTCGACGATCTGCCGAACGATCAAGAAAGACATTTGTTATTCCTCCTACGGCAATTCTCACTGCATGCTCATCACGAATGCCTCCAAGGAGACGAGGCAGGTCAAGGCGGCGGCTTTACTGAACACGCTCAAGCACGGGTCCGCCGAGATGCTGAGGTTCTTCTCTAATGAAAAGAATTTCATTCAGGATCAGACGAGCAACAGGCAGAAGGACAGGTGGATCTGCAAAAACATCGAGGAGGTTCCCGTCGTGAAGCATACGAAGTTTCCCACCTCCGTCATGGTCCTTGGCGTCATCTCCAGCGAGGGGGACGTCATGCCTCCGTTCTTCTTTCAAAAGAGCCTGAGAGTCAGCGCTGAGATCTACCAGGAGATGCTGAGGAGCGTAGAGATGCCCTGGATGGACGAGATCGCCGCCGGACGCCCTTACGTCTTCCAAAAGGTCCCTGCACACAAGGACAAGACGACCCAGGCGTGGCTGCTCAGCAATGTTCCTCAACACTGGTCACCGGAATTGTGGCTGCCCTCCTCATCCGACTGCAACCCCCTTGACTATTCCTTCTGGGGCGTGATCGAGGCCAAGACCAAGAAGCACGCACACAACACGGTCAACTCGCTGAAGGCTGCCATCGTGGAGGCGTTCGCCGCTATGTACAAGGACATGGTCGTCAAAGCGTGTGACTAATTTCGCACCCGCTTTGAGATGGTCTTTTTGCCGCCGCCACCAGCGGTTACATTGAAATATATTGTAGTATGTAACTCTAACTGTTGCTAAATAAACTGTTAGCTCTCTGCATATACAACTTTTGTTTTTATTGCCTATTTCGTTCTCTTTTTTGTCAAGTGTTGGATTTTTCTGCAACAGCCTGTATATTATTAACATATAATACATATAATATATAATATATTTATTTAAAAAAATTATAACATAAATATGTTATAACATCACTACAAAAATAGCCATTTTGTTTCAATACTTCTTATGTCTTGTCAAGCGATGATGTTGTAAGTAAAATAAAGAGTTTTTAAAGAGTTCAAAAGAAACCACTACCCTCACTGGAGTAATATGTAATCTAATGCAAGAAATCCAGGTAATATCAAGCAATTGTGGGAGTTTTACCGAGTAGAGTGGTCAAATATTGATGTTCACTACTGCCAGAGACTTCTTAAAAATTATACAAAAAAGACTGGGAGATTTCCTACCCTTAAAAGGAGAAGTCACCAAATATTAAATGTAAGGGTTCACTTACTTTTGAACATGTTCTTATTTTTATTCCAGCTTGATAACAAAATTGAAATGGATGTAATTCACTTAATAAAGGTTTTTCTTAATGACTGTACAGTTTCATTAAGAATCATTGATTGTCTGGAAAAAAAGGGACGCGTTTTATAAAATATTATATTAGGGCTTCATTTACTTTTGCGCAGCACTGTATATATATATATATATATATATATATATATATATATATATATATATATATATATATATATTAGTGGAAAATATACATACATATGCAAAATATATATAAAAAATTCCCATACATGTATATTTTCAGAAAAAAAAAAAAAAAAATTTCCAAGAGGAAGGATCCAGGTAGAACTCAATGTCTAGGACAGAGTAAGGATATAATAAAAAGGCTTAAACACTAATATTCCATGGTCATAATTTATTCCATTGGAATCGTAAATACGATCCAAATCATCAGACCTACAAATTCAAAATGAAAACAGAAAAAAACAACTCCGGAAATCAAAACAGAATTTAGAGAAAGTGTAAGTATGAGGGGAGGACATGAAACCTTATCGTATTTACGATTCCAATGGAATAAATTATGACCATGGAATATTAGTGTCTAAGCCTTTTTTTATATATATATATATATATATATATATATATATATATATATATATATATATGTATGTATGTATGTGTGTGTGTGTCTGTGTGCGTGTGTCTGTGTCTGTGTGTCTGTGTTTTGAACAATAATAATATTGAGAACTTAAAAAATTAAAATTTTCAGACAAACTGGGTTGTATATTAATATTTTTTATTTATTTCAAATTAGATTCCTCGACTAGTTTCGGCCAGCATGGCCATCATCGAAAGAGAGGATGGGAAGAAATATTGAAAACTAGACGTCTCTTTTCCCCGAGAAGAGCCGAAGACAACTTAATAGGAGAAATAATCAATTACTGCATAGAATAACGAAGGTTGGTAATGAACGATAATACTTAGGACAAGAACAACACACATAAGATTCGCCAGCGGCGCGTAGGAATAGTAGTAAACTGCCAGAAGTGATTCAAGGGAATTCCACAATGAATTTCCAACTAGAGGATATCTACCAACCGCCAAACGCGGCCAGACGTGGCACAAGGCCGAAATTAATGTGGAGTATCCGAGGCTGTTGGCTCGACCAAAAATTCCCCGTAAACCTCTTATAAAACGGAGCCGGGTCGCTGTTTCCCGAGACGAGATTCTGCACTGCGCGGAGACAGGGAGTTTGACCAGCACAACTGCAGACCAACATACAGTATTTACTACTGTATTTATGTGAATGCGGACATACCTATTATCGTCCGCAGGTATGTTGCACCAATTACTGAACCCGGTTTCAAGTATTGTATTTAACGATTTTTCAGTTACGATAGGGTTAAACAGGGAGAAATGACAGCCGGCAATATTTTTGTACTGTGATCTTTTTACTCTATCTTTTTGTATTTTCCGTCGTGAACTTCTTGCCGTACAGGTTCTACTTGGACTCATGTATTGTTTTTCTCTGCCCATCTTGGCTTGTATCCGCCCTGTTAGTATCAGATTTTCCAAGTCCTCTTTCCTCATTATATGTCCTAAGAATTTCAACTGTCCCTTCTTGATGTTAAGTATAAGTTTTCTTTTTGTTGCCATTTTCTCTAAGATTTCGCTGCTGCTCACATGTACGGCCCATATGGATATGAGTAGGTTAGGTTACACTAAATGGAAACAACAGATAAATGATCATTTAAAGGTTAAAAACAATCTGTGTAATAAAACATAACTTCTGAAATATGAAAGAAATATAAAACAATAAGTGATTAAAATTTGAATACTGAAAACAATTGGTAGTCATGGCAAGGACTTATTTGATTTTTATGACTGTTTAGTGGTTTTGTAGTGTTTTAGGTTCCAGTAATAGTCAACCATTATTCTTCTGTTCCATCTTCCTTGATACCGTTCTTCCATAATGTCCTGGTGGAATCTTTCACCTTGCTCATCGCTAACATTACCAAAATTATACCACTGACAAACACTTAGTTTCTCTCACAAATGTTTGATGCAGACTACGTAAAGTGATTATAGCCAAAGATTTTTATATTATTTTCATTCATAATATTCATGCATTATCACAGTATAAAAAAGTAGCTGTTTCAGCAAACCAAGAATTTAATAACATTCATGATTTTTTTTTTTTTTTTTTTTGTAGGAGGCATTCAGACTTAATTTGAACATTATGGGAATTTGGGCTATAAATAGGCATTTTTTAAGTACTGGGGTGGTAACCAGTAAAACCAATTTGATTTTTCGAACCAGCGTCCTTATATCAGCTTAGAAAAATACAGTGGAGGGAAACAAATATTCGTACACATACAAATTATTAATTACGAGAGTTTACTTTTAATATTGTGTCAGTTATATTATCTTTGATCATCTATCCGGTAATTATTCCTCCATTTACTGAATTCTGCTTCCATTTACTTTTTTTTTAATTCATGTTTCTTTAACCGAATCCTTACACCCCACACACACATATATATATATATATATATATATATATATATATATATAATTATTTATTTAAAAATATGATTCCAACTCGTGACATAAGAGACCTCTTATGTCGCGAGTTGAATCATATTTTTAAATAAATAATTATATTTATGCTCTACTTTTGTATCGAGCACTATTTTTTAAAATAATAACTAAAATACTAAGGAACTTTGGATTATTTACCTAACCAGTTCCTTCCTATTTTCTATATATTTTCACATATATATATATATATATATATATATATATATATATATATATATATATATATATATATTCTTCTTCCTCCAGGTTTGGGTAAGTAGCAGGGACAGACTGGGTTCTATAGCCTTACATGGAAACTGGTCTAGGAGAAGGAAAACTCTGAATTCAAAACCTGCATAGTGCTGTTTGCGCACCAGGTCTCTGTATTCGGCCCTTCAAAAAGTGTGGATGGTCCAGCACGAAACCTTCACCACTATAATCAAATCTCATGTGCTTTTGTCGGGCTGTCGGTTTCCTCGGAACTGATCTGCTTGACCCTCATACGTCGAATTCGACGGGAGAGTCGATAGTATATATATATATAAATTTTGTATTAATTTAAGTTTGTCGCTTTTGTTGTCCTATTGTTGACCTGTCAAATTTTCGTTTTTTATTTTTAAATGTTTGTGGTCCTCCTGTGACTCATTTTTACTTGGGCGCAGGGGCCATATTCATTTATCATATCGTTCCCCTCCAGGGGTCTGTAACAAACATTCTAGAATATTCCGCTTGAATAATCTAGAATATTAAAGCAATTTTAAAATTTTAAAATCTGAAATTTGCATTGTACCAATACTTTTTTCAGTCATTAAAAATGGATAAATGGGATTTATTTCTATTAAATCAATTTTTTTTTGTTTTCTATGTATATTTAGTTACGATACATCTGTGTACAGGTAATTATATGAAACGAATGTTTATTCATGAGTTGGAAATACAATAAATTAATAATTTGTACGTGTACGAATATTTGCATAACTGTGTAAGATGACTTGCACCACAGAATGAGTAAGCGGGTGTCATCAACAGTTGCTATCTTTTAAAAGATGATAAAAATATCAGGCCGAGAAAACATTGACCTTTTCCATCTTCATGGTTGGATTCCTGTCGACAATGCCAATGGTTAGTTTATAAGCAGGCGTCAATTTACTCTTTCTCTTTCATGTTTTTTCTCTTCTGCAACTATCCCGCTTCTCTCTTTTTCTTTCTTTTTCTCCTCTTTCTTCTTTCCTTCTCTTTCCTTTTTCTTTCTCTCTTTTTCTTTCTCTCTTTTTCTTTCTCTTTGTACCTTTTTTCTTTCTCTTTCTGTCTCTCTTTCACTATCATTCTCTTTCACTTTCAATGTCTCTCTCTTCTCTTTATTCTTCTAGTCTATCTTTTTCTTAGATAAATTCTTGCTTACCTCCATCTCAATCCTCCGCCATTTCTTATAGCATGCATTCACATTCTCTCTTTTTTTCTCCCTCCGGCTTTTATCCTTCACTCTTTTCTCCTCTCCTGTCTTACATAAACTCACACTTGCTTACACCTTACCCTCTTTCTTTTTCCTGAAACACACTTACTCTCTTCTACATCTACGTCGACTATTTTTCTATAGAATTATCTATAGCCCCATTGATCATTGTATCTATTGCTCACGATTGCCTCCATCACAAACTATTTCCTCAAATTATTCCAGGAGAACACTAGATGGAGAGAGTGAATGTAGGAAGAAAGATTTGGATTCACCCAAATCTACACAAATAAGACCTGCCTAGAAAATCTACCTTCGAAGACCATGTTCTCCTCTAGGCTTCACTGGCGCAAATTGTCAAATACGCAAGTGCCACAGAGTAGGTCACCTTTCTTCCTATCGGTAAAATAAAAATCAGGAAAGTCAAAATGAGGTGCATGGTTATCAGTTCAACGGGATGAATTATGGCAAAGGCAACATATCCGAATCTAGCACGTTGCGTTCCTGCGCTTAGATACGCAATTATCCATTCAAGTAAATTTCGCCGGCAGTGATGAGACTCCCTATAGGGAGGACGCGATAACACTTAACTGGTAATGATACTGATAATGCAAAATAATAATAATAATAATAATAATAATAATAATAATGAAAGCGATGCAAATAGATGAGAATAAGTTTAATATATGGAAGCGAGACATGGAGAAAGATAAAGAAAGACAATAAAAAAAGGGAGTGAGATATCTATATATATAAAACAGAGGATGTCTGTGTGTCTGGCTATTTGTGTGATATCTTTTCACTCGAGATCCATCCAACCAATTCTTGGCACATACATTGTCCAATGTAAGAGATAGGTTCTTAGCGTAAAAAATCGATAATTTTTTAAAAGTCAATAATCGATAAAATCGATCAAAAATCAATAAATTCAACTTTTTTCCTCCGATTTCGTTCAAACTCAGTATGTAGGTTACTTACATTATGACGAGCTCAACGATACGTCATTTTCATTTCTACGCCACTGCGTTTAGCGAAAAACGGCGAAAAACAAAACATCAATTTTAACCCAAATTTTAAACTAAAAATTCTCTTAAGCAATCTAATACAAAGTTCAATGAATTGTAGCCAACAATAACTTGATTGTTTAACAGTCATTTAACTTGATAATTATTGAGTCCAGCCATGTAGCGAAAATCCGCGTAAATAGCGAAAATGGCTGTTTTTTACTTGTTTCTTTCTTATTTTTCAACCAATTCTCATAAAATTTAGCAATTGCTTTATAATGGTATCTTCTTTTACATCAATGGTTGGACACTAACAAATTGAATTTCAAAAACTCCAAAATAATTGTGGTCTGAGGTGGGTCTTCATGTTGCCTCTTTTAACTCTTCATGTCCTCGTCTAACTTTGATTGAATAAATACAGACTACTTCTGTTATATCAGTAACTGCAAGTACTTTAAAGTAATTGAAGAAGATAGACTCTGTTACATCTAAACATGATGCTGTTTTTGCTCCATTCTAATTGAAGGCTTTTTCTGATCGACCAGCTGAGTATGGTTGCTAGTTGGAAATAAACTTGGAAATTGATTAAAGAGAATCTTATTCAATAGAGATAGAAATGAAGAAGGCAAGAACTGTAATTAGAAAGAATAGAAAGGATGATGATTCAGTCGTTTCAACAACGTCGGATAAAAAAAGAACAAGAGAAAATATCAAAGAGAAAGTAAAGCGGAAAGTCAACGAAAGTAGAAAAAGATATAAGCAAAGAAAAGACGTGAGGGGGGCTCAGAAAGTAGGATCCAATTATTAATTATTATCGTGCATTGATGAGATAAGAGTCTCAAAGTCAGTGGCGATTACACGGTAAACTAACATAGTAGTACAGGTAATATACTATGGGTTGGAACATGTGAGCAACGAGGACGTTTTAGGGAGAATGGTAACAAATAGGACACTTTACATAGAATCAATAAAAGACTTAAAAATTTATAGGTCATTGAATGAGGAGTGAAGTCAGGACATAATCAAGGCAAAAAAGGCAGAAAGTATTTTTATTGTATGTGACTATCTCCTCAGAGCTGCACCTCGGTTGCAAGCGTGGAAAAGAATCGTATTACAAAGTGTTAAATAAGCACACATCTCAGTGAGGAGTTGGGCAGTATCTTAGATATCGTAGACGAAAATGTAATGTCCACGTTCGGTTTAAGGTCGGAAACAGTCACTAACCGACTGGAATTGACGAAATGTTCAATATAAGAGATGAAGTGTGGTGTTATCATTAATTGGCAGAACGACTTTATTACAGTTTTATTTATGTAATAATAAATATATAAGTAACTGCTTTCTCAGTTACTTTCCAGACATCCTTTTCTATGCACGAGGCATGAAGAGAAGGAATGAAGACTAGATTGAATTTATACAAAGGAGTTAATTATTCGAGTGCTGAATACGTCCCGTCCCGAGCAAAGCCAGTCCCCCAAACCTGACCAATCATTAGATTTTTATTATTATTTATATTTTATTTATTTATTTATTTATTTATTTATTATTATTATTATTATTATTATTATTATTAATTTATTTATTTATTTATTTTTATTTTTTATATTTTATTATATTTTATTTGTTTTATTAATTATGTTTTGTTTGTGTTTTGTTGTTTTATTGTTTTGGGGACATTTTGAACGGAGCGAAAAGTTTTCAGCACACTCTCGTATACCGAGAAAAAGAGAGAGGTTTGTCGAATAGAGAAATGGACGTTGTAGCAATAAAGAAAAGGGAGAGATGTCATTAGGAATTAGAAATAAATGGAAATGGAGGCAATGAGAGGTTTTGGAGAGAGAGAGAGAGAGAGAAAGTTGTAGGTGCATTTAATTGAAATTTAAAGAAAACCATCTTTACCGATTGCTATATCTACTCTGCTAAGTACAGCAGGAGATCGTAGATATATTAATATTTTATAACGAACACGATTGAAGATAACGACAGCATTTACTGAATTCTTGGTAGTAGTAATGAATGGGTTTGCGATGGTGATAGCAATCTATCTTTAAGAGACGAAAATGAAATCGTTTCTATGGCTGACTCTGGTAAGGAGAAAACTTACAATTGTACGAAGAAGACAAGTGAGTGGATGATATTGTAGAAAGGGTTGGGAGAATGCTTTTGAGACGCTTATCTGTATGTAATGTATGTGTCTGTAGCGCTCTAGTGTATACTTGACTCCTCCTGCTAATCTCTATCTTTACAAGAGCCAGATTAGTCTCAAAATGGCGTACGTTTATCATATTTGGGTGAGAGCTGCTCTATCCTTGATAGAGTGCAAACGCATTCCTCGAGCCCTTGACGAATTATTCTCCAAACCTCTCTCTAACAGACGGAATCTAACACGCCTCTCGCTGCTGTATCGTTAGTTTCGGAAAGTGCTCGGGGGAATTACATTCCCCGGTACGGCCAGTTCAAACCTCCACGTCAAGGAGACTCCATGACTATTTACATAGATGCAGACCATCAACATTCCATCCGTATGAAGTAATTTCCACTCGAATAGCTTTTTCTCGTGAGCCATTGCTCTGTGGAACCGACTCCCAAGAGGATGTTTTCCCACCAATCACTACAATCTTAACCTGTTCACGGCTAGGGTTAACCGTTATCTTACCCTCCCATTCGCACAAATTGCTTCTTAATGCAACCCTCTAGCTCGGGCCTTGTACAGGGTGAACCTTACTGGAAAATAAAAATTAGATATAGAAGCTTTGTTGTATTTGTTTTTACATTCGTTATTCACAGTATTGGAATTTGGACTAATATCCTTCTACAAGAGGATGGGAAGTGCGAAACTGAAATCCAAAGACACATTATGATGGCGAAAGACGCATTCTAAAAGCTAAGCAGGGTATTAACAGACAGAAAATAACTTTGTCAGAAACAAAGAAAAGAGTACTGAACTGCTACGTGATATCTGTCTTCCGATATGGCAGTGAATGCTGGACAATGTCCTCAAAGATGAAGAAGAGTCTTGAAGCAACAGAAATGTTATTCTACAAAAGGATGCTAGGTAAAACATGGACTGAAAATATAAGCAACAACGCGGTTTTAGAGAAAATGGAAACAAAATGGCAACTTATGCATTACATCAGAAAGAGGCAGTTGAAATTTCTGGGGTAAGTAATGAGGAAGAAGGGCTTGGAAAATCTGACACTCACAGGACAAAATTGAGGGCAAGATGGACAGAGGAAAACAACGCATAAAATACTTGATGAGCTTGAGTAAATGAATGGTAGAACAGGGTTTATCAGAAATAGCCAAAAAAGACAAACTTATTAAGAGCTACAAGAGACAGGAAGATATTTAAGGCCACGATCGCCTACTTCCTGAGGGGCGCAACACATCAAGAAGATCCTCATTTTTATCATCACATCGTTTCGGTCGTTGTGATATACGGAGTTTTTTTTAAAGATGGCTATCGATCCAGACAATCTTCAAGGAATGTCGAACTGAACATTTCATTTAAAGCTCAGTGGTAGATTTTTCTCGTTTGGATGTTCATGTTTAGAGTTATCTCCCCTTGTTCGTTTTTAATACAGTTCAATTAAAAAAAAGAATTCAGTTTAAAATTATTTACTAATTACCCGGACTGACAGGCACCTGACGATAGCTGTAAAGCAAAACTATTGAAATATTTCAAATAGTAATGGGAATGAGGAAATTAGTCCAAAATAAAGAATATAAATAACTCGTTCTTCTAGAAATCCTGATATATAAATATCTCTTACAAACTGCTTACGTACATTCATATCGATCCATACATACACACCCCCTCACGCATACACAGTGTCTGGTTTATCCTTTCCGAGTATAGCTACCTATAGTTGTAAATAAAAATTTAAACAATCTACACTGAAGCTCTCGTTACGATAACATGTGACTTCATGCGAGCACAAACATTGACGGCTTTCAAATATTTTCGCCTGCTCAGTTTTAATCAAAAACCTAGGTATATTTTTCTCCCCATTCCCGGATGATATATAACCTTCGTATACGAATAATGTTCAAAAACGTACGATGTAAACACTTATCCACTATGTTAATTGCTA